GCACGACTTGTCTGCTGTGCTTACCGAGATTTCTGAACACTCTGCATGTGAATGCCTTTAAAGTAGTGGAGTAGGAAGAACATTTTAGTGACCTGCCAGCTCTGTCCAGACTGCTGTGAAATGTTGTGTAGGAATGACCATTTCATATCTTTCAACCTCCTACCTGAAATCTTTTCTGCTGTAATGTATCACTCCCCATTTACTGGGTCAGGGTAAAGGTTCTGGAAAGAGTCCGAAGGGAAGGCTTAGTTCAGCTAGTCGCTCTTGTTTGTTGTTCTCCATTACTGAACATCTCCCATCTACATCTTTTCTAAAAGTGCATCAACTTCCACTTCCTTTCTGTCGTGGGGATGTCATCCACAACAGGACATAAAGGGATTAGCACATGGGGTGGTTTAAGGCAGCTGAATCTGGACTTGATGAGAGTAACCAGAAGCAAGGAAGCAGTGATGATACAGCACTGAAGACAAACTTTTAAAAGGTGGTTATCACAGTAGCCCAACCTGAAGGTGGAAAAGAAAGGCTTAAATTAAACATCTCAAAGAGAGCAGCCAGTGATCCTCTCCCTCCGTTCTGCCCTGTTTTCACCCTTGCATCGCACCCTCAGCTGCGCTAAACAAATGGGGAGGCTGAAGTTGTCTGATGGTGTGCGAAGAGCAAAAGGACACAGCCTAAGGAAACATGTTAATTGCAGGAGAACACTGGAAGAGTAAGGCCCCAAAGGACAACTGCCTCCACAGTGGACTTAATCTGTGCAGCACATGTGACACTGGATTATAATTTGGTGTGACTGGTAGGAGGTGTGTTTCTTCTGAGTCAGTGGCAGTTGTAGACAGGGGAACACCTGCAGTGTTACCTACTCAGTTGGGCAGAAAGATAAGAATGGAGCATCTGGCTTGTGGAGACAGTCTAAGACAGGAAGTGGAGTTGTCGTGTTTTTATGCAAGGAAGGTTTCTATTGTTTGCTTAGGGTTTTTTTTCTCTTTGTTTTTACTACAACAGTTAAATATATCCTATCAATTAAGGATAAACCAATGTTTCAACTACAGACTCATAAAGAAACCCACTAAATAATTTGTCAGGATTTTTTTAAAACAGACAGTCTCTTGAGAAGAAAGGTCTAGGACTAAAAGAATTCTGCAGGTCAGGATTGAAGTACTGCAGGGTGACAGAACTGTTTGGAAAGATTTGCCTGGAATTCTCTTCTACTACAGCCATATCCAGCAAATGCTTGCAGAAGGTGCAGTTCCTGCTCATCGGAGTTGTCCATCAGGAATCAGTTGGATTGTTTAAGTGAAAAGTGTGTTTCCCTAAGAAAAATTCTCTGGGTCTTTTTTAAAAATAATGAGTCTATTCAAACAGGCCTGGCTTATTAATAAACTTGTAACTGGAGTGCTGCTATCCAGAATAGCACATAACAAGCACTTTACAGTATCAAGCTTCTGTTTAAAAAATCTTCTAAAATAACCATATGCTGGCATGAAAACCTGTGATAGATTTTTCATCAAGTGGTGTATGTTATCTTCCATAAGAGATTCCAATCAGGTTATTTTTTTACAGCTATAAATCAGCAGTTTGATTCTACGATGTTTTTATACCTGCTCTTACAATACTTCTGTTTGTTTGCTTAGTGAAGAAAGGTTCATTTTTAGGTGTGGAAATTATTACAACAAGGAGGGCAGCCAAGTATAATCAGATATTTTAGTGTAATGCTAATTTTGGTGCAGTGCAGATCATCTAGGTGGTTTGTTTGGTTTTGGGTTTTTTTGTGTTTGGTTTTCTTTTTTAAATTTTGTTTCATGACAGCAAATGGAGCACAGAACTTAGCTTGACCCAGCCAAAACCTAAGCAAAATCATATTTATTCATTCAGACAGAATATTTGCATTTGTGAATGTGTAGGAAGGTTTGATTAACATTATATCAAACTTTTTGTTTCCTCTATTCTTCAATTCCCATTTCTCTTTCTTAAAATGGATGTGATGAGCATATCCAAGTTCAAAGGAAGTCTGAAGCCCAGACAATGACTGAGAGCCCATGGGACACTTACCTTTGTGAGCCTGATGAGTTTGTGTACTACAGATGTTGAGGCAGTCCTGGTCGTTATGCATCCATTAGGTGTGAGTCCTTTAGCATTTGTGGTTCCTCATGACTAGCTACTGTATGTCCAGAGGCTGGGTTAAAAGTCTTTTTCTTCTGTGTGATGGAGAAGTTCCTGCCTTCTCTTTTCTTCAGCCTTTATCTTCTGTGTCTTTCTCTGGAAATAGTTTTAAGATTAAGATAATACAAAAGTTGAGAGACTTGTTGTCTAACGGATAGATTCTGGTAAAAACCAGTCCACTGATGTTATTGTCATAATATACGAAAGAGAACCAGAAGTCTGTTTGACAAAACAAAGTCCAAACAAAACTCCCCCCGTCAAAAACAAAACAACCCCTCCCCCAAAATAAACAACCCACACACCCAAAACCCCACCCAAACAAAACATATCCATATATATTTGGATATATATCAAGTGCTTAAGAATCTACAACAGCTTCAAGACATTACATTCATAGTAATATTTAAAAAGCTGGCGAAACTATTGCTGTTTGAATAGCTGCCTTTTTCAGCATCGTGTTATACTGCTGAATAGTTTTTCATTCCTGATTTAGGAACTGATTATACATCCACTGAGCATAAAACTTTAAAGTAGTCAGAGAAGTCCAATCAGTGTTTTTATAAAAATGCACCAGAGCCACTGCCGAAGTGTCATAGTTCTGTGAAGCTATGCAGAGGGCCCTGGCATGTTGACTGCTTGGTTAGATTAATTCCTCTGTGACCCAAGCAGATTTTAAAGTTTAAAAATCTTCACTTTCACTTGAAAAAGCTTCCTTGAATACACAGTAAGTAATGCTTTTAACTCCTCAGTATGTAGCAAAAAATAAGTCTAAATACAGTTTGAAAAACTAAACCTTTTAAAATTTCAGAAGCTCCTTACAAGAATTAAAACAAGGAGACCATGAGTGGTATGATGGAGTTTTGATGCTCCATTTTCTGCAAGGAATCATGCAGAGAGCCCTGTTTCCCTTGGGAATGGTGTAGCTGTACTGCCTGACTTCAGGTACTCATGTGGGTGGTCTGAATCTTCCCCTGCAAGCCTTCTGCCTTTTGCCTCCATGGGAAATGTAGGCTTCTTAATTCTTGGCACTTTCACTTGCACCCTACTTGCAGACCAAAAGTCTCAATGATGACATTGTCTTCAGCTCCCCTCCAACTGTCTCTGATGCCCACATTGCTAAAATTGGAAGTGATAGGGGTTGTATACAAAATGGATGAGATGCTGTAATTTTTCAAATGGCCAAACCAAGTCTTACCTGAAGTTGCCTGTTAAGGTAACACACAGGAAACAGCCAAACTTGGTACATTGTGCCCCAGGCAGAATTCGTGCGAAAGCAAGTGGTGGAGTATGTTTAAAAAAAGAGTGGATTTGGTCCAGTCCCACTCTTAAACTGGGCAAGCAGCACTCAAAGTCCCATGATTTGTTAGTGTTAGAAGTTCCGTTTCATGCTGTTTCCCAGTTCTGATGCCATCTGCATGCACCAAAAGCTCAGCTTGCATACAGCCAGCCCTGCTGGTGTGTACACTGTTCTCCCAAGCAGTGCATATACAAATGGCATTTACAGAAAGCGATGCATGTACCCCTGAACCACTGCAAAAGTGGTATAAATGGCATTTTCTCATCAGGTCATTTTCTGTAGGTAAATATTGCAGTTGTATATTTCTGAATAAAGTAAAATACTTCAATATGTGACATTTCTGATTTTTGTGTTGTTTGAGTTTCTGAAGAATGTGGTTTTATGCCAAACCCATTTTTATGGCCATTTTTACGTTGACTTTTCTAGGCAGAGTTACAGGAAGGGACTATATTGTGTGATCACCTTGTCAGTCATGCCTGCAGGTAGCTTTGAAAGGAAAATAAGTGTCAAAAGTATAATGCAGTCTGAGTGTACTTTATGAGAATGACATATGTGAGAATGATTTAGGAAATCAGCATTGTTTAGATGGAGCTGAAAAGATTCTGACCTCTGTCATGGTTTTGAGGATCTTTGAAGTGAAGTACAAAATAAAAAATAATGTGAATCTGTGAAATCCTCAGTGTTAGGTCATTTACCGTTATCATGAAGCAAACTGTTATCTGTGGAAGCTCTGAAAATGCTATTTTAGTCTTCTTACTATATTTCTTAATGCATATTCTACTGCTTTTAAAGATATGTTAAATTATATTAAATGAAACTTTTCAATGACCTAGCATAAAACAAGTCCAATCAGAATGTAAAAAATAGTGAATATTTTTCTGAGTGAATAAATAGTGAAAAAATAGTGAGTATCTTTCTGAAGTAGGTTACAAAATCCCACTCACTGTGTGTGGTTCACCTTTTCTACTTGTGTCTTTAAAAAAAATTACTTTTAGCATTTACAATTGTAATTAAGAGATCACCTGTCACTGTTGTCTTAATGAAAGAATAGTTATATAATTTCAGTAGATCTCTTTTTAACATCATTGAAATAAAACATGTGAATATCTTACCTGTTTTTAAATTTTTGTTTTAAATTTATTTCTTTCTTTCTTCAAATAACCGCACCATTTTTTGTTGCTTGATATTTGTGTAAACGGTAAGGTTAGTTGAGCAAACTGCTTAGGTTGGAAGATTCACTCCCTGTCTTATAGACTATCATCCTACAAATGCTTATATGATTTACTTTGTATATGCGTAGCAGGTTTTGATTAAATGAATACTGATGGAACCATTACCTTAGGTTATAAAATAATCAACCAGAGTTTGTTTTAGTTTTGTTATTGTGGAATACAAAATGCTTTGCTGGGACTTAACGGTTAAACACGTGTGCATGTATTTCCAAGTTTTTATGCTTAAAAATGTATATTAATGTGTGATATCTATATATGAAATTTGCAGATACTAAGAAAAAGTACATTAATGGTATATTTTTATTTTGTAGCTTGGATCATCCTCCTCTGTGCCTTTTACATCTATATTCTCACAGCTGTTTATGACTGTTGTAGTCCCCCTTATTATTGGACAGGTATGTCTTTTAAATATACATCCTTATTTTAAAAAATAAGATGAACTGAGCTATCTTAAAGACAGGCTGGCAACCTGGTAAGCTGCCACATAGGAACAGCCTCAGGATAGTGAAGTCTAATATCAGAGAAAAGATGCTACAGTGCTCCCTGGAGCCACATTGATCTTTGTTGAGATTGAACATCTGTCCCTCACTACCACAAACATACGCTACTGCATATCGAGAAGGGAGTCTGTGAACATAAAGTGGGAAAAATGGCAGTCCAGACTGTGAGAAATTCCAGCCCCATACAAATGAGCTTTGAGAATACTCCATAGTTCTTTTGTCACATGCCCTTTGCCTGGATGATGGAGGAAGTTCTCCCTGTGTAGTATCTAAAACTAATTACAAGAATAAAAAATTCTCTACATTAAAAATTATATAAGGGCTAAGCAGTCAGAAGCTTAGAAAGAATAAAATTGAGGCTGCTTGAGCTGTATGCTTTTCAGTAAGGTTTTCAATTGCTTGTTTGCAAATTATTTTTTCTGCATGACTCCATCATCTGTTACACTGGATGGAGGGTATTCATGGAATTAGCAGCTGTTCAGTGTTTCATTTCATACTTGTTCATATTGAAACATGGGGCCTTATTTTTCATGGCATATGATTGAAATCTTTCACTGATTGTAAAGATGCTAATTGCAATATAAGATTTTCTGTGAGTCTTGTCTCTGTAGTATCTGTTTTTTCACAAATATTAATTTATTTTTTTTCGTCCACATCATGGTAAGAAATTGCTGTATAAAGACCAAAAGCGGTCATAAGTGTCCACTATTCTTAAGACACCAAACCAAAACACCCAAAGCCTAATTCTTACATATTTGTAAGTGTTTGTTGTTCTCAGGCATTCAGAATGTACAGAGAAAAATATCAGCAAGATTTGCAGTTCATTCCTAAGGAGTACTGTTGCTGATTCTAGCGTCCAGTTAGATTGTTAGACAACCCATGGTAGAGTTGTTTTGGCTGCACCAAATAATAAGGCTGAGTATCATGAACTGAGTAGTTAGCATATGAAATAAGTGCTCTGAATGCTCCTAAGTTCAGAATCAAGATTGTGATGAGACTTGAGTAAGAACAGATGTGATTTAGGGGTTCTGATAAAAACAGAAAGAAAAAAAAATAGGGAATCTTAAAACTTCTGTAACTCAATCACAAATTTATTTAGGAGTAAATATACTTCAACAAGAAATAGGATGATTCTTTTTTAAAAGTGCTTGAAGCAGTTTTTGGAAATGATCAACAGAAATAGCTCACATTCCTCTAAGCATAAAGACTTCATTTCTAAAATTTTTGTACTTGAGTATATCTGTTGAGAGGATATGGCAGAGAGGAAATGCTAAGGATAGCTACAAATCAAAAATGCCAAGGGTAGTTTACATTGATTGTTGTGACTAGGTAGAATTGTACAGAGGTAAACCAACCTGCTTAGACAGGAATAGAAGCCATTTTTGAATGTGGACATCAAAAAGTAACATGCAGTAATCTGGGATAAACAATAAGCAAGAAAAGGACTGACACCAAGAGACAGAGTGATAGGTCTGCTTACCCTTCATCAGGAGGTGCATGCATCTGCTCTGAATTAGATGGGAACTTTTACATTTCATTCATAGGCCACTACTCACTCATTAGTGAACTCTTGTACAACACGCAGCACAGCAATAAGTAAGTCACAAGGTGCTCACTCTGGGCTTCCAGATGCATTCAGAGATAATGGCCCACAATTCATGAATGACTATTTCAAAAATTCTAATTTAGCACTTCATGCCCACAATGTCAAATCCTTGCCATGCACAGTTATAGTGTTCAGCAGAAAAGTTAGTGGAAGAATGCCTAGTAATGTTACCTGGTAGCAAAAAGCTGGATTGGGGGGGGGGTGGTAAAAGGTGGGGGGGGGGGGGGGGGGGGGGGAAGAGCTTGGAACCTGCCTGCTTGGAGGATTGCTTTTCTTGAGCCATCCTTACTCAGCTGTGATCAACAGAGTCTTTACGCTCAATCCACATCAGTGTAAAACAGAGAAGGCTGCTTAAAAGAATCGTTCTCCAAGGGTTTTTTTTTTTTTCCTTTAAAAAAATTCTCGCCTCTGGGAAAACCTGTGTTGCCTAAATGCTCATTTCCTGAGCAGGCTGCAGAGCTTGTGGTTTGAGCAGCCTCTGGGATATAAGCAAAGCAGATGAGAAGGTGCTTTTAGATTTGATTTGTTTGGAGTTTTTTGTTTGCTTTATGGCAAAATGTGTCAAGAGTTTTGGTTGCTTGCCTGACTTGTCAGAATTTTTAATGATGGCTGGGAAAAAGAAGTTGCAATAGTGTAATTGATGCTTATTTTCTACTATTTCTAAAACAGTTTTTCAGTGTTCGGCAAGACTGCCGTTGACAGGAGTCAAACGTGCTTTTCTAGCTGCTGGCAATGAAATGTGTAAGGGGCTGCAGGTACAGCCTCTGCTCAGGTGGTGGCTGCCGTTTGTTGGGTGGAAAAAGAGCTGTTAAAGGAGGAGGAAGATGCTGTGTCACCAGCAAGGCACTGAGGCTTACAGATGGCAGTTGCTGAGAGGTCGTCTTCAATGAGGAGAATCGCTCTAGTCTTTGTCAGAGATGTACATGGGCAGGTTGTCTAAACCTAAAAAAAAATAGTGGCCTGTGTCCTCTCTGTCTACAGATGTGTTTTGCTAATTGACAATATGATGTTACTTAAATCAATATTGATAGTGTAATACTACATTTGTGTTTATACAGAATAAGACCTCTGACAAAAGATCTTGAGGAGACATACTCTGTAGAATTTTATGAAGATCTAATGTTCTATAAGCCTTGAAGATCTGTGGTGTGCAAGACTTTGTTATTTGTGCACCACTCTTGTATACCTCTAAGGGGAATTTGAGAATACTTGTTATACAATAAATGCGGTAATCAGTATTTCATGGAAAAGATTTTTTGAATTTGCTCTGGCAGCTTGAAGTTCTGATTATTTTTTTACTGGGTAGCAGCATTCTGATGAAGATTCCTGTTCCTAAGCAATTGCGATTTTGATAAAATAATTGCTTTCTTTTCCATAGGTGTTGGTAATACTTTTAGCCAGCAAAATGTAAGATTTTGAGAAATGTCTAAGCAGTTTCTTCATGACCAGTTGTGAGAAAACTAGTTTCTTTGCTTATTTTTTTCTTCTGAAGTGACAGATAACAGGAACAGTGAAAACCACTGCAATATTTTCTTTCCCCTTTTTGCAGACTTTCTCCATTCTCTACACCTAAGTGCTTATGACAGACTTTTATTTTATGTTTTATATTAAAGAGCGATTTATGATTAAATGTTAATGAAATAGAATTTTCACTGTGCTTTCATTATATTCTACTAGTTTGAACATTTTTCAAAGCAGCACACCAAAACCCACTGTTTTCTATGAATAAATAATAAAAAGCTTGTCTGTACATTATCATTCATGCATTCTCTAGTTGCCCCATTGGTAATTTGTCTGCCAGTGTAAAGTGGGCACTTCACATTAAACAGACCTTAACTAAAGCTAAAATTAATGTTGTGATTCTAAGTAGTTCTTCCCAAATCTATAAAATGAAGCCAGTTGTACAGAAATCTTTGCTGAATCTAGTCACACAAAAAAATCTTGATGTCCTACAAGTAAAGGATTTTAAACGCCTTCTGCATCATTGCCCAAAATGTTTCTGAGGAACCCTATCAGCATTTGGGAGGTGTGCTTATAAACTCAACTTTTAAAAGGTGCTATGTTGCAATACAGCTTGTCAGTGAAATTGAAACTAAAAAGCTTTGCAATTTATTTATTTTTAAAGAATAAGAAATTGGAAGGGAAAGGTAGGTGGCAGTTCTAGGGAGTAGAAGATACTATTCACCTAAGCCTAATGTTTCATTATAGTGGATGGGGGAGACAGTAGTTAAAGAAGCCGGTATGAAAAGGGAACAGTGTCAAATCCTTTCATTCTTGTGACTTAAATCCATATGGAAGTAGCCCTACTTTCTCTTTAAACTCCAGGGGAGCTGTAGAGAGGAGGGATGGTACCCTGGGAGATGAGTGCTTCTGGAAGCTTGTTGCAGAAAACTGAGATGGCAGATAAACAGCATTTAGGCCACAGCTTGCTCCTTTCTGATGCTTGGCTCAAGCAGGGAGCAGAAATACAAACTATGAAGAAAACATGGACTGCTGCTACAGGCTGCCTCTACATTTTTGCCACATTGCACCTGTTTGTAATGTTTTAAAGCAGCAGTTTTAAATTAACCAAAAATGTGGAAGTTCATTTTCAAAATGGCCTCATGTGGATTTTATAAAGCTTGCTTTGAAGGTGTATATGTGTCAGTAGCTATCACTTGGGAGTGAACTGACTGTCATCATGGGGTAAGGTAGCTTTTAAGGGAGTTTGGTAATCTGAGGAAAAAAACCATGGCACTCATAAAAAAGATTTTTTTTTTTTTCCCAGATTGCAAACGTGGTTTTGGATTGGTTTTCTTTTCCTGCCCCATCTTCAGAAAAGAAATATTAGATTGCACACTCTGTAAAATAAGGACAGATTTGATATTTCTTGATGGTCTATAAGGTATAGAAAGCTGTGTGAGCCAGAACAAAGTTTGGGACTTTATAGCAATGTGCAGGAACAGGTGAGAATGTGTGCCTTAATGCATGTACAGCCCCTATAAAATTTTTAGCCAGACCCTGTCCTGATGCGATACGAGCTCTGCTTTGGAAACGGATGTGTGGATTTTAACTGCAGTACAGACCTTGGATACATGGAGGGTGGCTATGTTATAGGAATCTCTGAAGGATGTTGCATCTTGTTTATGTCATTTCTACATCCTACATATAATCTCCCTTCCATTCCAATATCTGATTATTTCTACTGATTTTCACAGTCCCTGTCATCTTAGTTCACTTTCTTTTCCAAGTGCTCCCCTTTCATTTATTCCAAGCTTCACTGAAGTAGTTCCCAGTATTCCGTGCAGTC